TCTAGAGCAAGAGATATTGGAGCTCTTAGTGGATCTTTTCCAGCGAATGCCATCACTTTCGTGTGGGGAGTCGCCTAAGGACTTACAAGCCAGGGGTAGTGGTCATGTAGCCTTAAGATCTATCCAAAAGAGAGAGAATCTAGATTAAGACCATAAGCTAGAAAGATTAAGCATATGAAACCTCTAATCTACCCCATCTCAAACCCCAATGGGTAACTACTCACTAAACATAAATTTAAACACAAGCAAATTCAATAAAAGAGACATCATAAGAAAGAGGAGATGAATTAAACAACTTTTATTGAAATAAGCAAGTGCAAATACAAGAGAGATTATCCAGGATCTAAGATTCAAGAAGCAAGAGCTTCAAGAACACAAAGAGAGGATTAGATCTCTAAAAGTAAAAGTACAATAAAATTAAAAGAAGCTAAAACAAAAGTAATCTAAAGCTTGGTGGTTTTTTCGTGGCTAAGAGCCCTTAAATACAAAGAGGATTAGGTTTAGGGTCAAAGGGAAGTCAAGGGGGAAGCAACATTTTTCGGGTTTGACTTTGACTCCCCAGCTCGATCGAGTTGAAGCTTGGCCGGTCGAGTTGGTGAACTCGACCGGTTGGTCGAGTGGACGGTCGAGCTGGTCTTCAAGATGGCTTCTCCCATCTTCCTTTGTGTATCCAGTTGAGCTGCTTCCATGTGCCAAGTCCCTCCATGCTCCTTGTGTCCCATATGCTCCAGAATGCTCCAAAAGACCTATTTCAAAGGACCAAACATCCATATGTATGCAAATGCAACCTAAAACTAACATGAATGCATAAGAAGAGAAAAGGAACAAGATATGATGCAGATGAAAGCTAAAACTATGCAAAAGATGCATAAAAGATGTGCTAAAACTATGTAAAATGCAAGTACATCAGGTCTACATAGAGAAATGCATTGGATAAGCTACATCGCCACGAGTCGACCCAAAAGATTAACCATCTTTGGTCAAATGCTGAGTATTGAGTCTAGTTGGAGTCCCACCCAAGTCCCACCCATGTTTCAAGAAACAAAGAATCCAAAAAGGGCCGCAACACAACAAAATCCGGCCATTGGAACACTATTGCACAAGGCAAAGGTAAGTAACACTTCCATTCAATTGTCATTCCTTTTAAACACTATTTCTATCATATTAAACCAATGGACACTACTTGGATCTCTGATCAAGACCCCAAGTACACATGGTTTACACGATCAAGTCTTTGATTGGGACGTTCAAACCTTTTTGAGCATCTCAATCATTGACAGAGATTAACAAAAAGAATACTAGTATTTTTCAGATTACAATATGACAGGAGAACCGGTTCAGAACATCAAACCAACAAGGCGAACAACAAAAGCCACGACCGGCCAAAGGAGGAGACCCAAGGAAAACATGCGAGCCTAGGCGACGCCCTACCAAATTCGATACATGAGGGATAGAAAAACAGTTCGGTCGCAGCAGAACTCAATTGGCCCGAGTAAAACAGGAGATATAACACTTACAACCACTCTCTCGGCCAATATCGACGAACCAAGCGACCACACTCGACCATCTCACAAACGGCACGTCCGACGTCCACCCAACTTCACAGGCGACCTCCAAACACAATTTTGGTCCGCAAATACAAAGGATAGGACGGGAGAAAGTGCATGCATTTTGAGATGGACGAGGAGTGTCAATACGGCTGACGGCGATGCATCACATGGCCGATAAACTCAAAATCAAAGGAAGGCGCGAACTCCAGTGGAAACTGATTCGTTGGAACATAACAAACACCAAGGAAGAAGAAAAGAAGGAAACGATCGAACGTAATACAAGACGGCCGGAGGAATCACATCCCGAAGCCATTGGCGAGCACATTCAAACATCTCCGAATCCGCCCGTTAGAACAGCCTCCAACTTCACAGGAGCCACAAAAAATAAGGTTGGTCGATGAAATTTCATTTCAGTACGATGAATTCCTTCTAGTTCAAGAGATGGCCGAAGGAGTGAAATTGGGCCGAATGCGGGCATGTAAAATGGCCGATAATACGAAATGACGGCATTTAGCGCGGCCACCGGCTAAAATCAACTCCATTAAGCATATGCATAGCATCTAAGGAAGAAAATAGAGAATGGAACGTGCAGATTTGGAGAAGGCCGAAGGAAGACGTTTCCGGAGCCGCTTTGAAATTGTTTCAAAGAAAGATTCAAATCACTCGTTCAAACGACCCCAAACTTCACCAGTCGCCATATTATACCCTATTGGTCGATGAAATTTCAAGCTGGGTCGAGGACATGATGATAGGATTTGTGTGTGTGTGTGATATGAAATGAGGTGGAATGCAAACAGTGGTATAAAGATGATGGTATGGTGCAAACACAATCAATCAATTCCTCTTAACCATCATAGTCATGAAGTATAAGAGGTTATCAATCCAAAATGGGAAACTTGTCACTCTATGAGAATATGAAACAACCGAAAGTCAAGCAAGCAGTTATAGATTTGAAGTAACACTAACAACCTAAAAAAATGAAAAGCAGTGCAATAAAAGTAAACAAAGCAGTGAAGGTCAGCTCGACCAAGACTCGAGTCGAGTAGAGCAAAGTACCAGCTCGATCGAGTTTAGGGACGAGTTGAGACAAAAAAGCTAAAGGTGACGACTTTAACAAGATAAAGAGAGAATTAGGGTTCAAGACAGGGTTTTGCAATCAAAGGAATCTACACTTAATCAATCTAGCTCTTAAAACTCCTTGTATCAAGGCTTCTCTTGATATTGGGCTTCTCAATGCCTAGCCAACCCTTTCCCAAGGTGAGGCTATCAACCAAGGAATGATCTCAGAAACAGGGGGTTAGCCAGTGAGAATCAAACCTTGGAGGCTATAGGATCATTGCCCAAACTAATCCATCCAACCCCTTAGACCTCTATTTTCTAGAGCAAGAGATATTGGAGCTCACTTTCGTGTGGGGAGTCGCCTAAGGACTTACAAGCCAGGGGTAGTGGTCATGTAGCCTTAAGATCTATCCAAAAGAGAGAGAATCTAGATTAAGACCATAAGCTAGAACGATTAAGCATATGAAACCTCTAATCTACCCCATCTCAAACCCCAATGGGTAACTACTCACTAAACATAAATGTAAACACAAGCAAATTCAATAAAAGAGACATCATAAGAAAGAGGAGATGAAATTAAACAACTTTTATTGAAATAAGCAAGTGCAAATACAAGAGAGATTATCCAGGATCTAAGATTCAAGAAGCAAGAGCTTCAAGAACACAAAGAGAGGATTAGATCTCTAAAAGTAAAAGTACAATAAAATTAAAAGAAGCTAAAACAAAAGTAATCTAAAGCTTGGTGGTTTTTTCGTGGCTAAGAGCCCTTAAATACAAAGAGGATTAGGTTTAGGGTCAAAGGGAAGTCAAGGGGGAAGCAACATTTTTCGGGTTTGACTTTGACTCCCCAGCTCGATCGAGTTGAAGCTTGGCCGGTCGAGTTGAGGAACTCGACCGGTTGGTCGAGTGGACGGTCGAGCTGGTCTTCAAGATGGCTTCTCCCTTCTTCCTTTGTGTATCCAGTTGAGCTGCTTCCATGTGCCAAGTCCCTCCATGCTCCTTGTGTCCCATATGCTCCAGAATGCTCCAAAAGACCTATTTCAAAGGACCAAACATGCATATGTATGCAAATGCAACCTAAAACTAACATGAATGCATAAGAAGAGAAAAGGAACAAGATATGATGCAAATGAAGCTAAAACTATGCAAAAGATGCATAAAAGATGTGCTAAAACTATGTAAAATGCAAGTACATCAGGTCTACATAGAGAAATGCATTGGATAAGCTACATCGCCACGAGTCGACCCAAAAGATTAACCATCTTTGGTCAAATGCTGAGTATTGAGTCTAGTTGGAGTCCCACCCAAGTCCCACCCATGTTTCAAGAAACAAAGAATCCAAAAAGGGCTGCAACACAACAAAATCCGGCCATTGGAACACTATTGCACAAGGCAAAGGTAAGTAACACTTCCATTCAATTGTCATTCCTTTTAAACACTATTTCTATCATATTAAACCAATGGACACTACTTGGATCTCTGATCAAGACCCCAAGTACACATGGTTTACACGATCAAGTCTTTGATTGGGACGTTCAAACCTTTTTGAGCATCTCAATCATTGACAGAGATTAACAAAAAGAATACTAGTATTTTTCAGATTACAATATGACAGGAGAACCGGTTCAGAACATCAAACCAACAAGGCGAACAACAAAAGCCACGACCGGCCAAAGGAGGAGACCCAAGGAAAACATGCGAGCCTAGGCGACGCCCTACCAAATTCGATACATGAGGGATAGAAAAACAGTTCGGTCGCAGCAGAACTCAATTGGCCCGAGTAAAACAGGAGATATAACACTTACAACCACTCTCTCGGCCAATATCGACGAACCAAGCGACCACACTCGACCATCTCACAAACGGCACGTCCGACGTCCACCCAACTTCACAGGCGACCTCCAAACACAATTTTGGTCCGCAAATACAAAGGATAGGACGGGAGAAAGTGCATGCATTTTGAGATGGACGAGGAGTGTCAATACGGCTGACGGCGATGCATCACATGGCCGATAAACTCAAAATCAAAGGAAGGCGCGAACTCCAGTGGAAACTGATTCGTTGGAACATAACAAACACCAAGGAAGAAGAAAAGAAGGAAACGATCGAACGTAATACAAGACGGCCGGAGGAATCACATCCCGAAGCCATTGGCGAGCACATTCAAACATCTCCGAATCCGCCCGTTAGAACAGCCTCCAACTTCACAGGGAGCCACAAAAAATAAGGTTGGTCGATGAAATTTCATTTCAGTACGATGAATTCCTTCTAGTTCAAGAGATGGCCGAAGGAGTGAAATTGGGCCGAATGCGGGCATGTAAAATGGCCGATAATACGAAATGACGGCATTTAGCGCGGCCACCGGCTAAAATCAACTCCATTAAGCATATGCATAGCATCTAAGGAAGAAAATAGAGAATGGAACGTGCAGATTTGGAGAAGGCCGAAGGAAGACGTTTCCGGAGCCGCTTTGAAATTGTTTCAAAGAAAGATTCAAATCACTCGTTCAAACGACCCCAAACTTCACCAGTCGCCATATTATACCCTATTGGTCGATGAAATTTCAAGCTGGGTCGAGGACATGATGATAGGATTTTGTGTGTGTGTGTGATATGAAATGAGGTGGTATGCAAACAGGGGTGAATAAAGATGATACGGTATGGTGCAATCACAATCAATCAATTCCTCTTAACCATCATAGTCATAGAAGTATAAGAGGTTATCATCCCCTATGCGGGAGAAATAACATTAATGAAGGAGATATTGGAAAAACAACAATTATTTTAACCAAGGAAAATCATTGGGACTTGTTACTCTTTGAGAATATGAAACAACCTGAAAGTCAAGCAAGCAGTTATAGATTTGAAGTAACACTAACAACCTAAAAATAATGAAAAGCAGTGCAATAAAAGTAAACAAAGCAGTGAAGCGTCAGCTCGACCAAGAGCTCGAGTCGAGCTAGAGCAAAGTACCAGCTCGATCGAGTTTAGGGACGAGTTGAGACAAACAAAGCTAAAGGTGACGACTTTAACAAGATAAAGAGAGAATTAGGGTTCAAGACAGGGTTTTGCAATCAAAGGAATCTACACTTAATCAATCTAGCTCTTAAAACTCCTTGTATCAAGGCTTCTCTTGATATTGGGCTTCTCAATGCCTAGCCAACCCTTTCCCAAGGTGGAGGCTATCAACCAAGGAATGATCTCAGAAACAGGGGGTTAGCCAGTGAGAATCAAACCTTGGAGGCTATAGGATCATTGCCCAAACTAATCCATCCAACCCCTTAGACCTCTATTGTCTAGAGCAAGAGATATTGGAGCTCTTAGTGGATCTTTTCCAGCGAATGCCATCACTTTCGTGTGGGGAGTCGCCTAAGGACTTACAAGCCAGGGGTAGTGGTCATGTAGCCTTAAGATCTATCCAAAAGAGAGAGAATCTAGATTAAGACCATAAGCTAGAAGGATTAAGCATATGAAACCTCTAATCTATCCCATCTCAAACCCCAATGGGTAACTACTCACTACACATGAATGTAAACACAAGCAAATGCAATAAAAGAGACATCATAAGAAAGAGGAGATGAAATTAAACAACTTTTATTGAAATAAGCAAGTGCAAATACAAGAGAGATTATCCAGGATCTAAGATTCAAGAAGCAAGAGCTTCAAGAACACAAAGAGAGGATTAGATCTCTAAAAGTAAAAGTACAATAAATTAAAAGAAACTAAAACAAAAGTAATCTAAAGCTTGGTGGTTTTTTCGTGGCTAGAGCCCTTAAATACAAAGAGGATTAGGTTTAGGGTCAAAGGGAAGTCAAGGGGGAAGCAACATTTTTCGGGTTTGACTTTGACTTCCCCAGCTCGATCGAGTTGAAGCTTGGCCGGTCGAGTTGAGGAACTCGACCGGTTGGTCGAGTGGACGGTCGAGCTGGTCTTCAAGATGGCTTCTCCCTTCTTCCTTTGCGTATCCAGTTGAGCTGCTTCCATGTGCCAAGTCCCTCCATGCTCCTTGTGTCCCATATGCTCCAGAATGCTCCAAAAGACCTATTTCAAAGGACCAAACATGCATATGTATGCAAATGCAACCTAAAACTAACATGAATGCATAAGAAGAGAAAAGGAACAAGATATGATGCAAATGGAAGCTAAAACTATGCAAAAGATGCATAAAAGATGTGCTAAAACTATGTAAAATGCAAGTACATTAAGTGTAGATTCCTTTGATTGCAAAACCCGAAAAGTACAAGCTAAAGGTGACGACTTTAACAAGATAAAGAGAGAATCAGGGTTCAAGACAGGGTTTTGCAATCAAAGGAATCTACACTTAATGTACTTGCATTTTACATAGTTTTAGCACATCTTTTATGCATCTTTTGCATAGTTTTAGCTTCCATTTGCATCATATCTTGTTCCTTTTCTCTTCTTATGCATTCATGTTAGTTTTAGGTTGCATTTGCATACATATGCATGTTTGGTCCTTTGAAATAGGTCTTTTGGAGCATTCTGGAGCATATGGGACACAAGGAGCATGGAGGGACTTGGCACATGGAAGCAGCTCAACTGGATACGCAAAGGAAGAAGGGAGAAGCCATCTTGAAGACCAGCTCGACCGTCTACTCGACCAACCGGTCGAGTTCCTCAACTCGACCGGCCAAGCTTCAACTCGATCGAGCTGAGAAGTCAAAGTCAAACCCGAAAAATGTTGCTTCCCCCTTGACTTCCTTTGACCCTAAACCTAATCCTCTTTGTATTTAAAGGCTCTAAGCCACGAAAAAACCACCAAGCTTTAGATTACTTTTGTTTTAGTTTCTTTTAATTTATTGTCTTTTACTTTTTAGAGATCTAATCCCATCTTTGTGTTCTTGAAGCTCTTGCTTCTTGAATCCTAGATCCTGGATAATCTCTTTGTATTTGCACTTGCTTATTTCAATAAAAGTTGTTTAATTTCATCTCCTCTTTCTTATGATGTCTCTTTTATTGCATTTGCTTGTGTTTACATTCATGTGTAGTGAGTAGTTACCCATTGGGGTTTGAGATGGGATAGATTAGAGGTTTCATATGCTTAATCCTTCTAGCTTATGGTCTTAATCTAGATTCTCTCTCTTTTGGATAGATCTTAAGGCTACATGACCACTACCCCTGGCTTGTAAGTCCTTAGGCGACTCCCCACACGAAAGTGATGGCATTCGCTGGAAAAGATCCACTAAGAGCTCCAATATCTCTTGCTCTAGACAATAGAGGTCTAAGGGGTTGGATGGATTAGTTTGGGCAATGATCCTATAGCCTCCAAGGTTTGATTCTCACTGGCTAACCCCCTGTTTCTGAGATCATTCCTTGGTTGATAGCCTCCACCTTGGGAAAGGGTTGGCTAGGCATTGAGAAGCCCAATATCAAGAGAAGCCTTGATACAAGGAGTTTTAAGAGCTAGATTGATTAAGTGTAGATTCCTTTGATTGCAAAACCCTGTCTTGAACCCTAATTCTCTCTTTATCTTGTTAAAGTCGTCACCTTTAGCTTTGTTTGTCTCAACTCGTCCCTAAACTCGATCGAGCTGGTACTTTGCTCTACTCGACTCGAGCTCTTGGTCGAGCTGACCTTCACTGCTTTGTTTACTTTTATTGCACTGCTTTTCATTATTTTTAGGTTGTTAGTGTTACTTCAAATCTATAACTGCTTGCTTGACTTTACTCAACTCGATCGAGCTCGAGTTGGCACCCCCAAACTTAGCCTGAAAACAATCCCAAGAGAACTAGACAACTAGAACTACTGCCCCTGCCGGTTTAAACACAACACCTTATGCTAAGCAAAGCCAAGAAAGGTTCTCACAATCGCACAAGAGATAAACATGGGGTTTGAAATGAAAAGGCTTAGGTTCAAGGTGGTGGTAACTGTCTCAAAGGTGGAGATCAGCTATCTGGACAAGCAAAAGGGATATGAAAATGGTAAAGAATGTCCAGATATGTATGTGGTAGCCATGAGTTGAAATCAAATGCAAGCATTGGTAATTAAAGATCAAGTTATGGTTCATATAAATAGGGAAATGCATCAAATCACAGCAATGGTTGAATGAGATGTGCATGCAGCGATATGATCAAGATAAACATGGTTCTTGCTGCTCAATCAATCTCACCCTAATGCACAAAAGAATCTAAAAACAGGGCACTCAAGAAATCGCAAAAGATGGACAAGTTTTCAAAGTCAAATCAACAATGCAAGTGAAAAATGCAATCCTAAACAAGTCTAACAAATATGAATGCAAAAAGATGAAAATACTTTTGGATTTTTTGAAAATTTTATGATTTTTTTGGTTTTTCTATGCAAAAGCTAAATGAAAAACTAAGAACAAAGTAAACAAGGTTAAATCATCTCTTGAACCCTCCCCCAAGCTAAATGAAAAACTAAGAACAAAGTAAACAAGCTTGTGGCTCCTCTTCCTCCTCTTCTTCAGCGTTGAAATGTGTGTGGCTTCCTTGGCCTTGGTGAAGCATTGGTAGCTCGTACTGTCCATAGGGGTTCCATCTACTCCGGGGAGGCTCCTGGTAAGGCATGGGATCGTATTCAAATCCTGGATCCTCGAACTGGGGCTCCTCCTGGTCAGCTCGACCGTCAGCTCGATCGAGTTGAGTTTCCTCTGTTTGGACTCGATCGAGTCCGGTGGTCGAGCTGGAGCGTCTGGCCTTGGAAGTCTTCCTCCTTCTCTGCGTGTTGTCTTCTCCTTCCCTTGGCTCGAAAGAAGAGGCTCTGTGAGGCTCTTGGGCAGGGAGTCTCCTTTGAGTGGTGAGGAGTGACCTACTCCTAGGGAAAGTGGGAGCTTTGGGTGCCTTCTTCTTCTTGCTTGAAGAACCAGATACTTTCTTCTCCAAGCTCTTGATCTTGCTCACCATCTTATCCATGGACTTTTGCATCTTGTCCATGGCCTTCCCTTGCCACTTGTTGAACTTTTGGAGAAGTCCAATCCTCTTGTGGCAGCCACAACAGAGGGGTTCATCCTTGGAGCCTCATACTCCTCAAAGTAATAGCACTCAGGCTCACCCAAATCAGCGCTTTCCTGCACTCCATCTTCAGCTTGAGCCTCAGCTCGATCCTCAGCTCGATCGAGCTCGATCTCTTCTTCTTGCAAATCTGCTTCATGCCCAACCAAAGTGTACACAGGGGGTCTGAAGTCAATGTTTGTACCTCCTAGGACCGTGGTGAGCTCAGGGTTGGGCAGGAGAAGCTTGGAGAGTCCAGCCGTCGGGTGGGTGAACTTGAATTGGAATCTCCCATCCAACTCCTTGTGCTCAATGAGAAGGTTGGTCTTGCAAAACTTGATGTCCATCCAACCTGGTGGAGTAGACCTTCTCTTGTCCACTTGAATTCCTGCTGCACAAAGAATGGTGTGATCACCCCTCCAACACTAAGCTTCCTTCCTCTTTGGTGCCTAGTGTTGTAAGCTGTGACCTTGTAGGCTTGGAGCTGCTCAAGGAGAGGCATGAGATTCCCTGCGTGTGCCCTGTCTCTCTGATCTTCTTCCCATCCTTGTGCGTGAGATGATAGGCTTGATTCCCATGTCAAGGAGCTTCAGTTCTCCCTCATTGATTGTTCCAGTGGCTTTCCTTGCAAAGAAGGTGTTGGCAAGAGCCTTGTGGACATATCTCAAGCACAGGCTCTGATCTGGCAGCCTTGGACCTTGAGGAAGAGTACCTCTTCAGCGATTGTAGCCCATACTCTTTGGAGTTCTTCTTCCTTGATGTTCCATAGGTTACCTTCTCCATAGGTGAACCCAAACGCTCGATCGAGCTCATCAAACTCGTGATGCTTCATCGACGCCAAAAACTCACAAGTCAACTCCTTGTAAGACTCCATGCGGTGAGAGAAGAACTTCCCCAATTGCATGTTCTTGAGCACCAACTCCACATCCTCAAAGATACCAAGATCTCTCATGGTGTCATCATGTGGGTACTTGGTCTCACAAAGTCCATGGAGAAGAGAGCATTGTAGTGCTCTTGGTACATGGGGAGCTCATCCTCCTCTTGTTCTTCCTCAACCTCTTCCATGGCTCATCTTGGTTCCCCTCTTGTCACTTCATCAACCAATTGTTCACCTCTTCTCCTTCCTCATTTGGAGAGCCATTTCCCCCCTCTTGAACAAGGTTCACTCCAATCTCAAACTCCCCTTGCTCACTCTCACTACTATAGGGTCATTCCTCTTCTTGGTTCTCCTTTCTTCCCTCAATCTCTCACTCTCAGACTGTTCCTCAGAGTAGACATACTCCTCTGCATCAGACCCTTCCATCCTCTGATCCATCCTCTTCTCGGCTTGCATTGCTTGATTGCTTGACTCACCCTCAACCATTCTCCTCTGTGAAGCGGCTTCCCTCACTGTCTGTCATCCTTGTTACTCTGTTTCTTCACTAAAGTACCTGAAATGCATCAAAGATTACAAAGAATTAGAGTTGTAATGATCGGTTTGGTCAACTCGACACTCAGCTCGATCGAGTCAAAAAACTCGAGTGACAAACTCGATCGAGTTGGTGAAAACAGAGTATAACCAAACCTAATTCAAGATTAAGAGCTGGAAAAGATGCTAATCAACCAAATTGAACCAAGAACAACTAGTAAATGGAACAATGAGCAACTATAGAGAAACTAAGCATCTTAACCAAACCAAACTCAAATTCAATTTTCAAGCACATGCAACAAGTTCTAATGATAAAACAGAGGTGAGGTGAGGCAAATTCACAAGTTAAACAAATATGAGCAGGAGAAGTGATATTAAAGCAATTACTCAAGATAATCCACAAGGGACACATGCAATCAAAAATCAAAGAGGAAACAAGCAATAATGGAAATCGAGATGGAGAATCAAGGGTTTAGGGTTCATACCTTGTTGAATGATGGAATTGAAGAGCAGTAAAGAAAAACCCAAGCAAAACAATGAAGAACAAGAGAAATCGCAAAAATTTAAGAGAGAAAGATTGAAATCGATTTCTTGTGGTGAAGAGAGAGATGGATGAGTTTCAGAAATTTTAGTGTGGGAGAGAGAGAGTGGATTCGATCGAGTTATGGGGAAGAGGGTGTTTGAGATGTGTGGTTGAGATTAAAAGATGAAATAAAGAGGGAACAAAAGCTAGGGATTCTCTGATCAATTAGGGTAGTGGGGGACCAAAATCAGCTTGTGGGACCCACTCCCTTGACCAAGAAAACGGTTATGAATTTGAAATTCAAAAACTTACCTCGGTCGAGTTGTGTAGCTCGATCGAGTTGCCCTGGTTTCTAGCTCGATCGAGCTGTCGGTCGAGCTGGCTCCTTGACACCTAAACTTAACTTATTGAAAGGTTAAAACACATAAAATAGATAGAAATTGCATAAATAGAATATGTACAAGGATAAACATGGGACTTCCTCCCAAGTGAGCTTGTTTAAGGTCCCATAGCTTGACCTTTACCTTCTTAGGCATTGGTTGAGCTAGTCCCACCATCAAGGGTGATAGTGAGGACTTGAGACAGAAGCTCCTTTAGCTTGGTTGGGTCCCTGGACTGTTCTGAAGTCACCAAGGCCTTGGCTCTAGAGAATGGCCTTGATCTCCCCTTGTACCTTATCTTGTACTCAATCTTCCCATTTTCAAACTTGGTGGGGAACAAAGTCATTGTGAGCTGAGATGGCTTGACTGAAGGGGCCTGAGCTGGTGGATCCTTTCTTTTATCTCCTGGTCTTGCCTTAGAGGCTGCATCCTCCCCTTCTTTTAGAGCCCTTCCTAGTGGCTCATCAAACAAAGCTTGAAGGCTCTCTTCATCAAGCACACAAGGGGCTTGAACAAGTCTCTCAGCTCTTGGCCTATCAGATCGTGGTTTCTCAACTCTAGCCCTCTCAAGACGTGGCTTCTCAATCCTTGGTCCTCTCTCATCCTTATCCTTCCCAACTCTTGGTTCCTTGTCAACCCTTTCCTTCACAACCTTTGTAGCTCCATGACTCTTAGAACTGAGATTGGTACTGTCAATTGTGGCACAAAAGTCTGAACCTCTAGGCTGCAAGCGATATGACACCAAACTATTCACCTTGTGAAGGATCACTTCTTGCTTGTGAAAGTCTATTGAAGCGCCAACTGTACTAAGGAAAGGGGTTCCCAATAACAAAGGCAAATCCTTCTCTTCTTCCATTTCCATCACAGTGAGATCAGTTTGGATGATGCATTCTCCAATTTTCAAGTGATAGTTCTTGAACACTCCAAGAGGAGACTTAGAAGTTGCATCTCCAAACATGATTGAAGTAGTAGGGCGCTGCAAGGCTCCAGCAATGCCTAGCTTCTCTGCCATGGAGAGAGAGATCAGATTGATGCTTGCTCCAGAATCCACTAAGGCATTGTCAATCTCAAGATGCCCAAGTGTGCAAGGGAGAGTGAATTTCCCTTGATCCTTGACCTTTGGTAGGAAGGTGGGTGAAGTAAGCAGGTTGAACTGATGAGTAGACTCTTGTAGGACCTCTGAAACTTTATCACTGTTGGCTAGAACATCCTTGACCATTTGCATTTGATCAAATGCCTCACTCATGCTATCCATAGAGGCAACTCAATTCCAATCCCACTGAGATCTCTTCTGAACTTGTGAATCACTTCCTTGTGACCTTGACTAAGTAGGCGAGACGAGGAAGCGGCAACCGGTTGTAAGGATCAAGCAAAACAGGCTGTCGGACAGAAGAGGTCGGACTCGATCGAGCTAGAGTTGGACTCGATCGAGCTGCCGATCGAGCTTGTCGTGCGAGCTCAACTGGTGAAGTGTGAATGGCCACAGTAGGTGCATGCACTTCTGGTTGATCAATCTGGACTCCAGGAGCCTCAGCAGCAACAATCTCTTCATCATTCAGCAGTAAACAAAAATCTTCAATGACCCTTTCTTGATCCTCTTCTTCAACAAGTCCTTCTTGAGTGAAGATGACCTTGCACTGTTCCTTGGGGTTCTGAATAGCTTTACCAGGTAGTTGTCCTTGCTTTGTAGCAGCAGCAACAGAAGAAGCATGATTCTCCAGAGAGTAAACCCTTGTGTTGAGGTTCTCGATCTTAGAGTTTATTTCAGCTAGCTTCTTGCTTGTGTCCACTACCCCATCAGCTTGCCCTTGAAGTAGTTGCTTTAGCATTGCTTTGAGCTCATTCTCTTGTGAAGGTGCAGGCTGGGGCGGTTGGTGGGGGAAGCCTGGTGGGATATTCATTTGTTGTCCAGGGAAAGTGCCTTGTGGTCCTTGGTAATTGTTCTTTTGACCATACCCATGTTGTGGCACCTGACTCGATCGAGCTGCTTGTTGTTGAGGATATACTTGGTCCTGAGGGTTAGCAACATCAGTGTTGCGGTATGACATGGCAGGGTTGGACTTGTAATTATAGTATCCTTTGTTGTAACCTCCTTGCCCATTGCTCATGTAGCACACCTCAGCAAATTGTGTATCCTCCCCTTCTTGGACTGGTTCCATCTCCTCAGCAGACACAAAGTTGACTTTCTTCATTGTGGACTGAGCTAGGATCAGCTTATCCAACTTCTCATTCAATGCCTTAACATCTTTTCTCAACTTTTCGTCTGACTCGATCGAGTGGTGGGTCGAGCTCCGGTTGGTGCGATCATACTCTTCTCCATAGCTTCCATTTGAGTTAGCTATGTTCTCCACAAGTTGCCAGCCATCATCTACATCCTGGTTGAGGAAGTTCCCATTGCTAGCTGTGTCTAGCATCTCCCTATACCTAGGCAAGCATCCTCTATAAAGAGTGGAGAGTAGGATTCATTGTTGAATCCATGGTGTGGGCACTGACTTGTGTAGCCTTTGAACCTCTCCCAAGCCTCTGCGAATGTCTCATTGTTTCGCTGGATGAAGCTGGATATCTCTCCTCTAAGCTTGGCTGTGCGACCGGTGGAGAAAAACTTAGCAAGAAAGGCCTTCTTGCATTCATCCCAAGTGGTGATTGTGCCATGGGGCAAGCTCTTCTCCCATTGGTGAGCTTTGTCAGCTAGAGACATAGGAAAGAGTCTCAGCTTGATGGCATCTTCAGAGACACCATTGATCTTTGTCAAATCACAAAGCCTATCAAACTCATCAAGGTGGTCAATGGGGTCTTCACTTGGCAATCCATGGAACATCTTGTTCTGGACAAGGTTGATCATTCCCAGCTTGATCTCAAAGTTGTGGTTCTGCACTGGTGGTGGAACAATCCCTTGTCTCTGTTGGTGGCGGTTTGGAGCATCTCCTTGACCAATCGGTCGAGTTTGCCTAGCTCGACCGAGTCCATTGCCCAAAGGGTTTCCATTCCCCTCTGGTACATCCATTGTATCAGCAACAAGCACCTCAGGTTCCTCTTGTACCCTCTGTGACCTCTGAACCCTCTTTCTACCCGTTGTAATGTCTAGCTCGACCAAGTCTTCAGTTAGACCGACTCGATCGAGTTCGCATACACCTGCAAAAAGAGACAAAAACCCAGCAGTACAATAGAACAGGGGTGGTATAGCTTGATCGTCCAAGTGTGTTTGAAACTCAAATGCAACAAAAATATTCCCAAATCGGCAACGGCGCCAAATTGATGATAGGATTTGTGTGTGTGTGAATGATATGAAATGAGGTGGAATGCAAACAGTGGTATATGAGTCATTGAAGTATAAGGGTTATCAATCCAAAATGGGAAACTTGTCATTGAGAATATGAAACAACCGAAAGTCAAGCAAGCAGTTATAGATTTGAAGTAACACTAACAACCTAAAAAAATGAAAAGCAGTGCAATAAAAGTAAACAAAGCAGTGAAGTGTCAGCTCGACCAAGAGCTCGAGTCGAGTCAGCAAAGTACCAGCTCGATCGAGTTTAGGGACGAGTTGAGACAAACAAAGCTAAAGGTGACGACTTTAACAAGATAAAGAGAGAATTAGGGTTCAAGACAGGGTTTTGCAATCAAAGGAATCTACACTTAATCAATCTAGCTCTTAAAACTCCTTGTATCAAGGCTTCTCTTGATATTGGGCTTCTCAATGCCTAGCCAACCCTTTCCCAAGGTGGAGGCTATCAACCAAGGAATGATCTCAGAAACAGGGGGTTAGCCAGTGAGAATCAAACCTTGGAGGCTATAGGATCATTGCCCAAACTAATCCATCCAACCCCTTAGACCTCTATTGTCTAGAGCAAGAGATATTGGAGCTCTTAGTGGATCTTTTCCAGCGAATGCCATCACTTTCGTGTGGGGAGTCGCCTAAGGACTTACAAGCCAGGGGTAGTGGTCATGTAGCCTTAAGATCTATCCAAAAGAGAGAGAATCTAGATTAAGACCATAAGCTAGAAGGATTAAGCATATGAAACCTCTAATCTATCCCATCTCAAACCCTAATGGGTAACTACTCACTACACATGAATGTAAACACAAGCAAATGCAATAAAAGAGACATCATAAGAAAGAGGAGATGAAATTAAACAACTTTTATTGAAATAAGCAAGTGCAAATACAAGAGAGATTATCCAGGATCTAAGATTCAAGAAGCAAGAGCTTCAAGAACACAAAGATGGGATTAGATCTCTAAAAAGTAAAAGACAATAAATTAAAAGAAACTAAAACAAAAGTAATCTAAAGCTTGGTGGTTTTTTCGTGGCTTAGAGCCTTTAAATACAAAGAGGATTAGGTTTAGGGTCAAAGGAAAGTCAAGGGGGAAGCAACATTTTTCGGGTTTGACTTTGACTTCCAGCTCGATCGAGTTGAAGCTTGGCCGGTCGAGTTGAGGAACTCGACCGGTTGGTCGAGTGGACGGTCGAGCTGGTCTTCAAGATGGCTTCTCCCTTCTTCCTTTGCGTATCCAGTTGAGCTGCTTCCATGTGCCAAGTCCCTCCATGCTCCTTTGTCCCATATGCTCCAGAATGCTCCAAAAGACCTATTTCAAAGGACCAAACATGCATATGTATGCAAATGCAACCTAAAACTAACATGAATGCATAAGAAGAGAAAAGGAACAAGATATGATGCAAATGGAAGCTAAAACTATGCAAAAGATGCATAAAAGATGTGCTAAAACTATGTAAAATGCAAGTACATCAACACCCCCAAACTTGAACTTTGCTTGCCCTCAAGCAAACAAATAGAACAAGAAAGAGATGAGGTTTGAAAATAGCTGATTCAACACTTAAAAACATGTCCTCAAAAGCGATTTGCTAAATGTCCAACTTAGAGATTCTAGAATGCAACAAGGTGAGAGATATTCATTAAGATTTAACCATGCTTATCAACATCAATCCCACTTCACAGTCACTCAAACAATGCATTCAAATCAGCAAATCCCTTTAACATTCATTAAGCAAAAACAGTGAACCAAAAACATGCAAGATCAATCAACTCATTTGGTTTCAAGGGTTTATGGGTTAAGAGACAAAGAGGGTCTCTTTTGTATGGTGGTTTAGTAACAGGGATCTCTCAAGAAAGTGGCTTTGCTTTGGCAGAAGGCTAAGTGTTAGAACCAAAGATGATGCAAGAACAGCAGCTCGAGCCGCCTAATCCTAACTCGATCGAGTTCAACACTTAGAGCTTTTTAGAACAAAATCCTAACTACCCTTTTTGGCATTTCGCCTTTGAAACTGAGGAGCTTTGCTCACTTTTCTTTTAAGAACTTCCTAGGGAGAGGCTTCTTGAGGTAACATCTAGCGGTTTGGGATTTTCTAAACACTTAGGGAACTTTTCTTTCCTTTTTGACACTTGAGGCTTTGCCTTCTTTTCATTCTACTTAGAACCCTTTTTACTTTCCTTTTTTAACTTCCCAAACCTTTACTAGACCCTTTTAACACTGCCAACTCCCTGGACTTAACCAAACTCTTTTTCTTTGGGTTTTTCCCAATTTTTACCACTTTTCTGGTTTTTACACCCAACTCGATCGAGCTCGAGTTGGCACCCCCAAACTTAGCCTGAAAACAATCCCAAGAGAACTAGACAACTAGAACTACTGCCCCTGCCGGTTTAAACACAACACCTTATGCTAAGCAAAGCCAAGAAAGGTTCTCACAATTCGCACAAGAGATAATATGGGGTTTGAAATGAAAAGGCTTAGGTTTAAGGTGTGGTAACTGTCTCAAAGATGGAGATCAGCTATCTGGACAAGCAAAGGGATATGAAAATGGTAAAGAATGTCCAGATATGTATGTGGTAGCCATGAGTTGAAATCAAATGCAAGCATTGGTAATTAAAGATCAAGTTATGGTTCAAATAGATAGGGAAATGCATCAAATCACAGCAATGGTTGAATGAGATGTGCATGCAGTGATATGATCAAGATAAACATGGTTCTTGCTGCTCAATCAATCTCACCCTAATGCACAAAAGAATCTAAAAACAGGGCACTCAAGAAATCGCAAAAGATGGACAAGTTTTCAAAGTCAAATCAACAATGCAAGTGAAAAATGCAATCCTAAACAAGTCTAACAAATATGAATGCAAAAAGATGAAAATATTTTTGGATTTTTTGAAAATTTTATGATTTTTTTGGTTTTTCTATGCAAAAGATAAATGAAAAACTAAGAACAAAGAAAACAAGGTTAAATCATCTCTTGAACCCTCCCCCAAGCTAAATGAAAAACTAAGAACAAAGTAAACAAGCTTGTGGCTCCTCTTCCTCCTCTTCTTCAGCGTTGAAATGTGTGTGGCTTCCTTGGCCTTGGTGAAGCATTGGTAGCTCGTACTGTCCATAGGGGTTCCATCTACTCCGGGGAGGCTCCTGGTAAGGCATGGGATCGTATTCAAATCCGGATCCTCGAACTGGGGCTCCTCCTGGTCAGCTCGACCGTCAGCTCGATCGAGTTGAGTTTCCTCTGTTTGGACTCGATCGAGTCCGGTGGTCGAGCTGGAGCGTCTGGCCTTGGAAGTCTTCCTCCTTCTCTGCGTGTTGTCTTCTCCTTCCCTTGGCTCGAAAGAAGAGGCTCTGTGAGGCTCTTGGGCAGGGAGTCTCCTTTGAGTGGTGAGGAGTGACCTACTCCTAGGGAAAGTGGGAGCTTTGGGTGCCTTCTTTTTCTTGCTTGAAGAACCAGATACTTTCTTCTCCAAGCTCTTGATCTTGCTCACCATCTTATCCATGGACTTTTGCATCTTGTCCATGGCCTTCCCTTGCCACTTGGTGAGCTTTTGGAGAAGTCCAATCCTCTTGTGAGCAGCCACAACAGAGGGGTTCATCCTTGGAGCCTCATACTCCTCAAAGTAATAGCACTCAGGCTCACCCAAGTCAGCGCTTTCCTGCACTCCATCTTCAGCTTGAGCCTCAGCTCGATCCTCAGCTCGATCGAGCTCGATCTCTTCTTCTTGCAAATCTGCTTCATGCCCAACCAAAGTGTACACAGGGGGTCTGAAGTCAATGTTTGTACCTCCTAGGACCGTGGTGAGCTCAGGGTTGGGCAGAAGAAGCTTGGAGAGTCCAGCCGTGGGTGGGTGAATTTGAATTGGAATCTCCCATCCAATTCCTTGTGCTCAATGAGGAGGTTGGTCTTGCAAAACTTGATGTCCATCCAACCTGGTGGAGTAGACCTTCTCTTGTCCACTTGAACTCCTGCTGCACAAAGAATTGGTGTGATCACCCCTCCAACACTAAGCTTTCTTCCTCTTTGGTGCCTAGTGTTGTAAGCTGTGACCTTGTAGGCTTGGAGCTGCTCAAGGAGAGGCATGAGATTCCCTGCGTGTGCCCTGTCTCCTCTGATCTTCTTCCCATCCCTAGTTCGTGAGATGATAGGCTTGATTCCCATGGTAAGGAGCTTCACTTCTCCCTCATTGATTGTTCCAGTGGCTTTCCTTGCAAAGAAGGTGTTTGCAAGAGCCTTGTGGACATATCTAAGCACAGGACTTCTGATCTGGGCAGCCTTGGACCTTGAGGAAGAGTACCCCTCTTCAGCTATTGTAGCCCATACTCTTTGGAGTTCTTCTTCCTTGATGTTCCATAGGTTACCTTCTCCATAGGTGAACCCAAACAGCTCGATCGAGCTCATCAAACTCGTGATGCTTCATCGACGCCAAAAACTCACAAGTCAACTCCTTGTAAGACTCCATGCGGTGAGAGAAGAACTTCCCCAATTGCATGTTCTTGAGCACCAACTCCACATCCTCAAAGATACCAAGATCTCTCATGGTGTCATCGTGTGGGTGCTTAGTCTCCACAAAGTCCATGGAGAAGAGAGCATTGTAGTGCTCTTGGTACATGGGGAGCTCATCCTCCTCTTGCTCTTCCTCAACCTCTTCCATTGGCTCATCTTGGTTCCCCTCTTGGTCATCTTCATCAACCAATTGGTTCACCTCTTCTCCTTCCTCATTTGGAGAGCCATTTCCCCCCTCTTGAACAAGGTTCACTCCAATCTCAAACTCCCCTTGCTCACTCTCACTACTTATAGGGTCATTCCTCTTCTTGGTTCTCCTTTCTTCCCTCAGTCTCTCACTCTCAGACTGTTCCTCAGAGTAGACATACTCCTCTGCATCAGACCCTTCCATCCTCTGATCCATCCTCTTCAAATCGGCTTGCATCTTAAGCCTTGTCTCTCTTGCATTGCTTGACTCACCCTCAACCATTCTCCTCTGTGAAGTGCGGCTTCCCTCACTGTCTGTCATCCTTGTTACTCTGTTTCTTCACTAAAGTACCTGAAATGCATCAAAGATTACAAAGAATTAGAGTTGTAATGATCGGTTTGGTCAACTCGACACCCAGCTCGATCGAGTCAAAAAACTCGAGTGACAAACTCGATCGAGTTGGGTGAAAACAGAGTATAACCAAACCTAATTCAAGATTAAAGCTGGAAAAGATGCTAATCAACAAATTGAACCAAGAACAACTAGTAAATGGAACAATGAGCAACTATAGAGAAGTACTAAGCATCTTAACCAAAACCAAACTCAAATTCAATCCTTTAAGCACATGCAACAAGTTCTAATGATAAAACAGAGGTGAGGTGAGGCAAATTAACAGTTAAACAAATATGAGGCAGGAGAAGTGATATAAAGCAATTACTCAAGGATAATCCCATAAGGGACACATGCAATAAAATCAAAGAGGAAACAAGCAATAATGGAAATCGAATGGATGAATGAAGGGTTTAGGGTTCATACCTTGTTGAATGAGGAATTGAAGAGCAGTAAAGAAAAACCCAAGCAAAACAATGAAGAACAAGGAGAAATCGCAAAAATTTAAGAGAGAAAGATTGGAAAATCGAAAATTTCTTGTGGTGAAGAGAGAGATGGATGAGTTCAGAAAGAGAGAGAGATGGATGATAGTGTGGGAGAGAGAGAGAGTGGATTCGATCGAGTTATGGGGAAGAGGGTGTTTGAGATGTGTGGTTGAGATTAAAAGATGAAATAAAGAGGGAACAAGAAACTAGGGATTCTCTGATCAAATTTAGGGTAGTGGGGGACCAAAATCAGCTTGTGGGACCCACTCCCTTGACCAAGAAAACGGTTATGAATTTGAAATTCAAAAACTTACCTCGGTCGAGTTGTGTAGCTCGATCGAGTTGCCCTGGTTTCTAGCTCGATCGAGCTGTCGGTCGAGCTGGCTCCTTGACACCTAAACTTAACTTATTCGAAAGGTTAAAACACATAAACTAGAAGAAATTGCATAAATAGAATATGTACAAGGATAAACATGGGACTTCCTCCCAAGTGAGCTTGTTTAAGGTCCCATAGCTTGACCTTTACCTTCTTAGGCATTGGTTGAGCTAGTCCCACCATCAAGGGTGATAGTGAGGACTTGAGACAGAAGCTCCTTTAGCTTGGTTGGGTCCCTGGACTGTTCTGAAGTCACCAAGGCCTTGGCTCTAGAGAATGGCCTTGATCTCCCCTTGTACCTTATCTTGTACTCAATCTTCCCATTTTCAAACTTGGTGGGGAACAAAGTCATTGTGAGCTGAGATGGCTTGACTGAAGGGGCCTGAGCTGGTGGATCCTTTCTTTTATCTCCTGGTCTTGCCTTAGAGGCTGCATCCTCCCCTTCTTGTAGAGCCCTTCCTAGTGGCTCATCAAACAAAGCTTGAAGGCTCTCTTCATCAAGCACACAAGGGGCTTGAACAAGTCTCTCAGCTCTTGGTCTATCAGATCGTGGTTTCTCAACTCTAGCCCTCTCAAGACGTGGCTTCTCAATCCTTGGTCCTCTCTCATCCTTATCCTTCCCAACTCTTGGTTCCTTGTCAACCCTTTCCTTCACAACCTTTGTAGCTCCATGACTCTTAGAACTGAGATTGGTACTGTCAATTGTGGCACAAAAGTCTGAACCTCTAGGCTGCAAGCGATATGACACCAAACTATTCACCTTGTGAAGGATCACTTCTTGCTTGTGAAAGTCAATTGAAGCGCCAACTGTACTAAGGAAAGGGGTTCCCAATAACAGAGGCAAATCCTTCTCTTCTTCCATTTCCATCACAGTGAGATCAGTTTGGATGATGCATTCTCCAATTTTCAAGTGATAGTTCTTGAACACTCCAAGAGGAGACTTAGTAGTTGCATCTCCAAAGATGATTGAAGTAGTAGGGCGCTGCAAGGCTCCAGCTATGCCTAGCTTCTCTGCCATGGAGAGAGAGATCAGATTGATGCTTGCTCCAGAATCCACTAAGGCATTGTCAATCTCAAGATGCCCAAGTGTGCAAGGGAGAGTGAATTTCCCTTGATCCTTGACCTTTGGTAGGAAGGTGGGTGAAGTAAGCAGGTTGAACTGATGAGTAGACTCTTGTAGGACCTCTGAAACTTTATCACTGTTGGCAATAACATCCTTGACCATTTGCATTTGATCAAATGCCTCACTCATGCTATCCATAGTAGGCAACTCAATTCCAATCCCACTGAGATCTCTTCTGAACTTGTGAATCACTTCCTTGTGACCTTGACTAAGTAGGCGAGACGAGGAAGCGGCAACCGGTTGATAAGGATCAAGCAAAACAGGCTGTCGGACAGAAGAGGTCGGACTCGATCGAGCTAGAGTTGGACTCGATCGAGCTGCCGATCGAGCTTGTCGTGCGAGCTCAACTGGTGAAGTGTGAATGGCCACAGTAGGTGCATGCACTTCTGGTTGATCAATCTGGACTCCAGGAGCCTCAGCAGCAACAATCTCTTCATCATTCAGCAGTAAACAAAAATCTTCAATGACCCTTTCTTGATCCTCTTCTTCAACAAGTCCTTCTTGAGTGAAGATGACTTTGCACTGTTCCTTGGGGTTCTGAATAGCTTTACCAGGTAGTTGTCCTTGCTTTGTAGCAGCAGCAACAGAAGAAGCATGATTCTCCAGAGAGTAAACCCTTGTGTTGAGGTTCTCGATCTTAGAGTTTATTTCAGCTAGCTTCTTGCTTGTGTCCACTACCCCATCAGCTTGCCCTTGAAGTAGTTGCTTTAGCATTGCTTTGAGCTCATTCTCTTGTGAAGGTGCAGGCTGGGGCGGTTGGTGGGGGAAGCCTGGTGGGATATTCATTTGTTGTCCAGGGAAAGTGCCTTGTGGTCCTTGGTAATTGTTCTTTTGTCCATACCCATGTTGTGGCACCTGACTCGATCGAGCTGCTTGTTGTTGAGGATATACTTGGTCCTGAGGGTTAGCCACATCAGTGTTGCGGTATGACATGGCAGGGTTGGACTTGTAATTATAGTATCCTTTGTTGTAACCTCCTTGCCCATTGCTCATGTAGCACACCTCAGCGAATTGTGTATCCTCCCCTTCTTGGACTGGTTCCATCTCCTCAGCAGACACAAAGTTGACTTTCTTCATTGTGGACTGAGCTAGGATCAGCTTATCCAACTTCTCATTCAATGCCTTAACATCTTTTCTCAACTTTTCGTCTGACTCGATCGAGTGGTGGGTCGAGCTCCGGTTGGTGCGATCATACTCTTCTCCATAGCTTCCATTTGAGTTAGCTATGTTCTCCACAAGTTGCCAGCCATCATCTACATCCTGGTTGAGGAAGTTCCCATTGCTAGCTGTGTCTAGCATCTCCCTATACCTAGGCAAGCATCCTCTATAAAGAGTGGAGAGTAGGGATTCATTGTTGAATCCATGGTGTGGGCACTGACTTGTGTAGCCTTTGAACCTCTCCCAAGCCTCTGCGAATGTCTCATTGTTTCGCTGGATGAAGCTGGATATCTCTCCTCTAAGCTTGGCTGTGCGACCGGTGGAGAAAAACTTAGCAAGAAAGGCCTTCTTGCATTCATCCCAAGTGGTGATTGTGCCATGGGGCAAGCTCTTCTCCCATTGGTGAGCTTTGTCAGCTAGAGACATAGGAAAGAGTCTCAGCTTGATGGCATCTTCAGAGACACCATTGATCTTTGTCAAATCACAAAGCCTATCAAACTCATCAAGGTGGTCAATGGGGTCTTCACTTGGCAATCCATGGAACATCTTGTTCTGGACAAA